TAGAAGGCTCCAAAAAGAAGAGATTTTCGGCTTGGGAACTCTGCTCCAAGCAAAGCCCAATTTTCTATAAAACCCGCTGTAAGTGAGCTACGCCTACGCTATTTTTAATATATCTTTTATTTAATTATAGTAACGTTATTAGGAACTTATAATAAGTACTTGGGCTATTATTATGGGTTATATAAGTATTGGTTAATGCTTATATAATAGTAATAATAGCTAGACTATTAATTAGTCTCGACCAATAATAGACTAAACTCTAGTCGTAATAATACTAGGTTTTGTCGAATGAAATTATTTTTAAGAAGCGAAGCGCTATCTGAGTTCAGAATCCCCACCTTTTCAGTGAGTGCATGGTCCCTTTCATCTTACACATAGATATGAAGTATTTTATATAAATTACGTGCTATGTGTGCATATTATCTGTATACTTGCTATCTATGCTGGATAAACGATTTTACACAAGTTTTATATGATTTAAACTGTATATGTATTTATATCTACATAGTATGTTGGGTAAAACATGGGTAGATGAAATATGAGTTGGATGATGAGTTGAGAGGTGATATAAACCATGATTTAAGGGTGAGAGGTGGATGATGTGAGAAGCCTTGTTCCAAAATGTTGGCCTCGTCATCTAGCAGAGTATGGATGACAACCACGAACTATTCTAGACAGTCCAGTGGAACACTAGCAGGCTCGCAACCTGTAGGTGTTGTGAACGATGTGTTCACCGGTGTACTCTAAAATCCCATTGACATGTATTGCAAGTGGACTCTCGAAAACGATACTGTCAATAAACGAGATAACCCTAGCAGCTATGCTCGAAGGATAATACTGGCAGCTGCGCCTCATATAAAAAGTCACAATTCTGACAGTTGCGCCTAAGTGATAGAACTAGCAGATGTGCTTGACAGCTATGTCATTGACAATGATGGATTTCGTACCTATTCCTTAGGATAATCCTTAGGAATGAATGAACGAGAAATAGCTGATTCTTAGTGTAGATCCTGAAGATTAAAGAAGATAATGGGGATGGGTGATTGGGCTAACTGTTTGATGATTAAACATAATAATTATATTATTGTGGGTTGAAAACCCTATATACTCACCAGGTTTCCCAACCTGACCCACTTAGTTTATTTATATCACAGGTGTTGATATGAAGTCACATTACACTGAGAGATTAAGGAGATATAAATCACTAGCGATAATGAATGTAAGTTCTGTTTATGCTTATATTTATGTATTGACGATGACATCCCAAATGTTTTAAAATGAATAAAAATATTTTTCTTCAGAAATGCTTTGATAACGTATTTATCGTGTTTTACTGGGAACAAATTCCATAACATTTTTATTAAAATAGGTACTCTGATTTTTATAAAGCATAAACAAAATCGGTCTTTTCTGGCCAAGAAAATGAGGATGTCACATCTTCTATCTAACCTGCATTTCCCTGGTTGGGGAAGTAGGGGTCTCCAGGTTGGTGAAATCCTGCCATGATATCTATGCGAGAATGCAGATGTGAGACATGCATGAAGAGTTTAATCGCATGTGACCTAAAATACTCCTATAGTATTTTAATTTTATATGTTTTGTTCTATAGTTCTTGATTTTTTTGGTAAGTGTTAGACTCGTTGTTCACCACGACCATTCCCTAACATATGTTAGTCACACCTCGGATAAATATAATTGATCTTGCTATATTTATTCAAGGTCTAATTACATATCCCAAGGCCTACCCGTAGCTTTCAACTCATCATACTACTTTTATTCTGCTTTCGTTATGACACTGCCCCAACTTCTATGTATTTATACTTTACTGAAAACATTATTATATTTTTGTAAGTATAGTTGTAGTCAGAGTGTTCTAGCCCTATGGTATTTATGGTTGTATATTTTTGTATGATTTGATATACTAGTTCACTATAAACAATGCTCTGATACCAATCTGTCACACCCCCGAACCGGAACAACGGAAACGTCTGAGGGTGGATGACGTCATTTCACAGTATTATAAAAATTGGATATAAATGAATCATAGCAACCCAAAACATCATACACTAAGATTACATGTTTACATTGTTTACAAACGTTGTTTGATCAAAAGTCAAATACAAGTAACTGAAAAGTAGAATTCATGATGTTGCAACGCCTGCCCTCAAAATGGTTTGAATACCTGTTTACTGGTTTCCTAAGAATACAAGTGATTTTGAAAAGTGTCAAAAATTAAGTTGTTGAGTTCATATACATTTTGTATGAGAAGGATTTGTAACGGTTTCATGTAAAATGATTTTTGTATACTTCTAGAAAACCTGATACTTTCTTTAAAGACGAGTTGTAAGTTTTTTACTCAAGACTAGAATGTTTGTATTTCCTTTGTATCTCTTTCTTGAAAAATGATAGTGTATGTTTTCAGAAAATCCAATATTTTCTTAAATGTGAACTGTAGTGTTAAACCCTAATAACAAAAGTGTAAGAAATGTTGTACTGAAAAATAGTATGTAACTTTATCTTCTTATAAAACTAGTGAAGTGTAAGTTAGCCCGTAAACCGAGTAGTTTTGTTAATCCCAATGTGAGTTATTATAACCATGCTAATATGATTGATATGCTTGAACGACGTTCTTCAGGCTTCGGAGCCGGTAGACATTTGTCTCGCTAGACTTGCCGGTCTAACTATAGCTAATAACTGAGCCGTGGGTTGTAAATACCGTATAGATCTATACACAACTATCTCGCACACTTCAAGGAGACTCTAGTTATATTTCATGACTTAAGGTGTAGCTAGGTAGGTACGGTGAAGAGAATGTCTCACAAGAGCATCAACTGATTTACGTGAACTATTACTCCTTTTTCTTATAAAATGAAATAATTATACCTGTAAATAGTTATATGGTTCTTTCGAAATGAAAGTATGGTTTTAGGACTCCCAAACTATACCAATTATAGTTTGTCTTATATGTTTGTTGATACTATTTATATAATCTTTTATATAAATATAAAGTTGTAATCTTTCCAAGTGTCAAAATATGTAGTTTGAGGTGATGATGAAAAGATTTCCAAGCCTAAACTCTTGGATGGAGTTGATGAACTTCCTTGGAGGTGATGATGAGAAGATTTCGAAGCCTAAACTCTTGGATGGAGTTGATGAACTTCCTTGTAGGTGATATTATCTTAAGGGTTTAAAACATTTTAATGTGTGTAAATATGAGGCCATGGACATGAAAATGTATTAAATCACTAGAAATACTTACCAAAGTTTAAGAACCCACTTGAAGGATTTTGTATTTGGAAGCATTGGCTTTCTTTTGAGAGGGTTTGAAGTTCTAACAAAGAGTGATGGTATGGGGATTTTGGGTTGGTGATTTTGATCGTTATAAGGAGGATATTTGATATGACCTTTGCCTAGTTACCTGTTGGGTAATATGTTTATTTGTTGTATGTTTTGCTTGGGATAATGCTGAGTTTGCATGGGAAATGGGGTGAGATATCACATCTTAAAGTCAAACCTTATCCTTTGTATCCCACTGGAATCACTCTAGGATGGATCTCCTTTGAGTTTTCGGCCATAAAGAAGGTGATTTCGGTCTAGGCATGACCGAAATCCCTTGGTACACACTCTTATTTGGGTTTTTCAGTCCTAAAGTGTTACAAACAAATAATTTCGGTTTTATATTGAAGAGTTTTCGGCCTTAATGGGCCATACACTAGAGATTTCGGTCTTGTAGTGATCCCATGGGTGTATTTTTGGTCTTGAGTAATAGAGATCACAAAGGTGGTGGCCATAAAAATCAAGAATTCAAGGTCATTGTATAAATACATGTTTTTGTGTTAAAACCATTTGATTCTTGTTTGATTTACATTAACCTTTCAAGGTTTATTTCAACATGAATTTCCACGTGTAAATTATCTTTAATCATACACGTGGTGCCTTCTTGGCTTTCAATAAACATTATTGCGTCAAATTAACATAGGTATACATTGTGGATACACTTATACACAAGACCCCCTAGACTTGGTTTGACCCAAAATTTTCTAGTTGTCACAACTAATACAATAATAAGCTGGTAGATGACATCTACTTATAACACTAATACTCAAGGGGCGTTATTTTATCAAAGATGAATAATTCAAGAAAAAAGAGAGTGAATATTTCATTAGTTATCTAATCTTTTATTGTTGACTTCTTAAATCAAATCCCATAACTTATAACTTGTATTTAATTATTAAATATAATAAGCAAATGATTCTAGTTTGAAGAATAAGTCAGCTGTTTACTATATAGAACTGCTTCAAACACTTCCAAATTCTTTGTCGAAGTGAATAAAAAAGCAAATAATGCAAACATCCAACTAATAATACTCGGTTCTATTCAAAATTACTATCAAATTAGATGACAGAAGCAAATAAGAAGCAATTTAGAAACAATGTTCAAGCTAGAGTGGTCCGAAAATGAATAGAATTAACTCGCGGATTAGAAACTGTTGTTAGAGAGATGAGGCATCCGACACCTGGTGCTCCAACATTATTACAAGGAGCATTTTTGGTTTAAATTTGACATAAAAATAAAAAAATTCCAATCACGTTTAACCCAAACTCCAAAAACTGAACACGTTTAAGCTGAATACAGAAAAAAATCATAGGACAAATTACACAAATGGTCCCTATCGTTTGGTGTTTGTTACGCGCCTAGTCCCTAACTCCATTTTTTTAACTCTGGTAATCCTTAATAGTTTGGTTTAGTGCACGCCTGGTCCCTCATCTAACCTTCTGTTTGATTTTGGAGTTAAAACCCCCACATGCCTTGCACGTTGAGGGTTATTTCCGTCATTTTACTTATTCATCCTACTACCAGTTTAAGAAATACATGCGTTCAATTAAACGATCATAATCTACATTGTACAACACAATCATATACCAAAAAAACACATAGCTATGTGTAAAATCCTTACGTGAAAAACCTAGGAGTGACGGCTGCAAGAATGAAGAACTGCAATGGTTTCTTGGTGCATTCGTAGTGAAATGGATGAAATCGACGTTGATCAAAGTTATGGTATGTTTGATTGACTTTCATTTGAATGATATTGACTATTAAAGGTTTAATTTTGTTAGCTAAAAACGATTTTCTCTCCTCTACAGTTGGACATCTGATAATGTTTTCAATAAGAATGCACCATGGAGGTGAGTTTACAAGCTTTCCTGGAAGGAAGTATATTCGTGGGAAGCAAACATTTGTTAATTTACTGGACACTGATACCTTTTTCGTTCATGACATTGATGAGATGATGGAATACCTAGGGTGTGCTTCAGTAGGTAAACCACTTTACTATCACTTTCAAAGGCCTTTTGGCGATTTAGATTTTAGGTTATTCGCTTTAGCTAGTGCTAAATATGTTCGTTATTTGGGGAGTTTTGTGGCTAAGCATAAGTTAATTGAAGTATATAGAGCATGAAGAAACTACTTTTCACACCTATTTAATGTCCCCAACCCACAGTAAAGTTCGTATAACAGAGATTACTGAACCTCCATCTTGTTCAAAGAGACTGTTCCTGGAGTGGCATGGCGCACCTGCTGTTGACTTGGAGGATGGCATGGATCACATGGAGAAAGAATTGGGTAATGATCCTACACGCACTGGTCATATGGAGAAGGATTTGGGTAATGATGCTACTCTCACTGATCATATGGATAATGATTTGGGTAATGATGCTACTCTCACTAAATCATATGGAGAATGACTTGGTTAATGATGATAATGACTTTGGTAAGTTTGGTGAGTTAGAGAGTGAGAATGATGAAAGTGATGATAGTGATTTTTTTGTGGACATTGACAATATATTGGATGATATTAATGTGGATATGCAAGACTTTGAAATGAATATCGACAAAGATGTGGAATGGGTTGGAGGGTCGTCTAACACTGTGGTTGATGAAGGCACACATGATGAAGCTTTAGAGGAGATTAACACTGACTTTTTAGCATCTGATTCATCATCAAATGAGGGGATTAATGGTCAAATAAAGAAGTCAATAAGAGCAATTCAAAGGGCACATGAGAATGATGAAGCACTTATTAGTGAACCCTTCTATATTTTTCAATAATCTTGTTCAACAAAGGAGTTTAAGGATAAGGTAAAAATCCATGCCATAGAGACTAGAAGGGAGTTGGCCCTTGAAAAAAATGACAAGAATAGAGTGAGATAGGTTTGTAAAGGAACAATACCAAAGCTTGGGCCTACTGTAAAAGTCAACGATGAAGAAGAAATATGTACTTGGGTCTTATTAGCTAGTAAATGGAAAAAAGATGTCAACTGGATAGTTAAAACGTACAAAAAAGTCCATGAATGTCTTCAAACTAGAACAGTGAAAGCATGTACGTATAAATTCCTCTCTTCTAACATTGTTGAACAGGTTGAAAGTAACCCTACTATTCCAATTAGGGCTTTTCAAGAACAGCTACGACAGAGGTTTAAGGTAGATCTTTCTAGGATGAAAACATTTAGGGAAAAATTTGAGGCTCTAAACCTTGTGCGAGGAGATTTTGTTACTCAGTATAGTTTACTCAGAGATTACCTTGTTGAGCTACAAACTCGTAACCCAGATACGACTGTTAGGGTTGATGTTGAAAGCGAAGGAAATCCACACAGTGAAACTAGGACATTCAGACACATTTACATATGCTTAGGAGCTTTAAAGAAAGGGTTCGCAGCTGGAAAGAGGAATTTTCTTGGCTTTGATGGTGCTTTCATGAAGGGTCCATTTCTAGGACAAATTCTTTCAGCCTTGGTAAGTTTTAATTTTTGTTCTTTTACTTATTGTTATACATAAAAATAAGTAGAAATCTATGTATGATTGTTATTTATCATAAAAATGCAAGGACTGGATGGTAATAACGACACATATCCATTGGCATATACGGTGGTTGAAACAGAGAACATCTATTCATGGACTTGGTTTTTGAGTTGTCTTGGGGAGGATCTTGGCTTGAATA